GATGTGAATCCCAAGGAAGTCATATTTCTGAGAAGAAGAAAACTGAAATTTTTAGTGTGTCTTTTTTGTGAAGACACTTATTTCTGCCTTAGTGAAAAGGCAGACAGAAAAGTGATACCCCAGTATCACTGGAATCATGTAGGTTAACTGTGATCATTTCAGGCATAGAAAACAGAAATCACCTTGAAAAAATTACTAAAAACCAAATGGTAGTAAGTAGCTTCAGTGTAGGATGACAATTTCTTCTTGACTTCTTTGTTCAGAATTTTACGCATGGTCTTCACTTTGTCTACTGTCACCAGCTGCTATAACTTTACAAGGAATTTACTTAATTTGTATGTTTCACAATATGCCATAGTTTTGACAAACTTTCAATTTACAACTCAGTATTTTAATTCCCTGTGTTTGCGCAAGACTGTATGAAAAGTCATTCAGGTTTCCAACATAACATACCTTCATTTACATGTCACATCATACCATACTTTGTGGGCAGAACTGTGGTTTTGTTCCAATACCTTCTGACAGCTAAGCTTCCTGGCCTCAGTTTCCTTCATGTACATTATCTCCTGCACTGCCTGCAGTTCATATTTGCTGTTTAGTTTGAAAGAATAATTATATGCCAGTAGTGCATACCTACAGCAAGCAAATATACTGGCTGATGCCTTTGACACTCATATTCTGTCTTTAAGATATCCTGGCTTCTATGTGACCTTTTGAGTGAGGCATTTTGTGTGTGCATATGTATATTATATAAGTGTACACGTATGCATATATATGTGCACATACATGTACTACAGAGATCTGAAAACTTGTACAGCTAAGGTCTTGCCCAAATCATCCACTGAATGCCACCTTGTTTTATTGACATATCATTAGAAGAGCTGCACACCATCAGTCTGATAGAAGATCCCTGAAATAGCCGACAGTTTCTATTTCACTCATCAAGTCTGTGGTTTAATCTATTTTATTTTCAGGGTTCTTCCTCTCATCTTAATTCCTGAATCTCTCCRCCTCTGCACTATGCACCCAGGTTCCCCCTTGAGTCAAAGCCTACTCTTAAAATAGGGYTCCTGCTGAAGCACTGAGGACCCTTTGGCACAGACCTGCCTGGGGAAACGGGGTGTGGCTCATTCCGTGTTTTGCATGTGCTATGCAGCTGTCTCAAATAAAGAGACTTTCAATGCAAACACATTAATAATAATAATAATAATAAAAAAAAATCCTTGGCACTGGTAGTACAGTGGGCTCAATAATAGTATTTTTAAAATATTTGCGCTAACAAMAGAGAAAAAGAGCAGCCAAGGTGGGAAGTGGGAAGGCGTTTCAGGGCAGCGGTATTTTATGCACTGTTAAAAAAATGGTGAACCATGACCCAAAAGGTCCAAAGCTATCTTCAGTGGGTATGTTTTATAACTTGGATGACTCCTCCTCTCCTTAAGCAAATTTCCTATCTATCCAAAGTATTTGTACATCATGTTCCCATCATGTTCTTCTGACTATTTTTTCCTTGTTTTTTTAGAATATGTAAGCATTGTCTGTTTCTGAAACTAGAACTTTATTCTGAAATACATTATCTGATACTTTATTTTTACTCTGAAAGTGTGACTTTAGGAAGCTGTTAAATTTACTGAAAATGCAATCTTTATCATTTCCATTTTAGATTTTTGCTTTGTTTGTCTGAAAACACAGATCTAACAAAAGAAAAAAAGGAAACCTTTGGATGAGGTAAATTTTAAATTTTAAATGTAATACCTCTATTTTTTCTGTATTGTATATGTCATCATAAAAATAAGAATACCTTTTAATAATGATACATGTGTCAAGTAGCTCAACTTACCTTTTTAGGTGTTCCATATATGTAAACTGATACCTTCAATAAGCTCATGTATTTTATGTGAATTAAATATTGCCTGTAATTCAAACTTATTTCAGAGAGGAACAGATACACCCTTAATTTCAGCTATTACATTCTCTATAATGTGAATTCTTATGGAAAATTACATATTGTTGTGGTTATTCTTTTTCTCTTACTGCTTTTTGAAAGGTTTACTTTTTTTTTAATACTTTTTGAGGTGAAGAAAAATTCACTTTTTAAAAATAAATTTTTCAAATGTATTAATTATTCCATTGATCTTCTGTTTTAATTTAGACAACTAAGGGCACGAGATATCTTTCCAGATAAGAAATTAGAGCTTTTATATGATTCATTTGGTTACTCTATTTATCTCTGGCTGAAACTCCTGAAGCAGCTGAAATTATAACTCAGTAAACACTGAAAATAGTAACAAATTGTTTTAACTTCCATTGCTATTAAACCTGAAAGGACCAGCAATCTTCTTAAAAGGAACTTTTCCATGAAAATGTTGCTACAAATTTTATGGTTAGCAGTAAACTCATTCATTTGCCTTATTAATTGTAGWTTTTTTTTCCTCTGGGTCTTATTTGTACATTAAGATAGAATTATTTACATATTAAGTACTTCAGCTCAGAAATGTCAGTCTTCCCAATCCACTTACATCCCAAAAACTTTTGAAAAGGTTTGAGAAAATATGTCTTTGCCTTCACATTCTTTACATTTTGTACAAACTTCTTTGTGAAAGCAAATAATTGATTCTCAATAATTTGTACAATAACATCATTATTGTACTTTCTCTTGATGAATTTCCTCTGGTTGATGTGTTTGGACATCATCCCCAAAGAACTACTGGTTACTTTCAGTCTCCACTGAAGTGATCACAGTCTCCAAGTGATCACAGAAGGTCTTCCTTCGCCCATTACTTTGCTGCAAGAACATTATTACTGCTGAGAGCTGTTCTGTCACATTCGGTCATTCGGTTCTGTTTCCTTTTTTTTTTTTTTTTTTTTTTTTTTTTTTTTTTTTTTTTTTTTTTTTTTTTTTTTTTTTTTTTTTTTTTTTTTTTCAGAACTTGTTTTAATCATGTGATCATGTTCTTGTGCTTCTTCCATATTGCTCTAATAATGAAAATACTTAAATACAGATTCCTCTAATATTTAAAAACTCCTACAGCAGAACTCTCTGGAGGTTTTGGTTTTTTTGGTTTTTTTTTCCCACTCAATTAACTCTCAGTCCTACATTTTGCTCTTTACCTCTTCCCAATCTCCCCAATAATTTCTTCTGGGAGTCTAGGAGGATGTCTTCTCCTTTGATTCATTCCAGGGATAGGCTTCCTTTATTCAGAAAGGATGGCAAGCAAGGAGACAATGCAATTACTGGTGCCACCTGACTCTTCAGATCCAAAGCTTGCTTCTTCCTTTATAGGCAATGTAAATTCTCATGTCTAGCATATTGGTATTTAGTAGTTGTCTATAAGGCTTAGTGAAACCAAATTTTATGCCTATATAATTATCTTTGGTAGCTAGCTGTATAACTGAATAAGGAATCTGTTTATATCTGTACACACACACACACACACTCATCTAGAAATCCACCTAAACTACTTGATTTTTACTAGTTTGCCAGAATCAGAATCATTGTTATTCAGCATCTTTCTGTCCAAAGCAAGGCCTTCACAGTGGTCATCAGCCTCTGTGTTTGTTGTCACGTATAATATTTATTATGATATAAAATCATAAAGAGCTCATAGCAGTATGCTCTGACCCTGTTAGTGATGAAATTTTTCCCTTCCTCTTCAGTAGCACTGTGTGTGCTGTGTGCTGGGCTCAAGTCCTCTGTGGGGATTACCAGACTGCTCTGCTGGGTTGRTCTTGACAGATCTCCAACACCATGGGATGCTGCAGTGAACATTTTTTGTAAAATGCGTGGAGCAAATGACGCCTCAAAAACAGTTCCAGATCCCTACCGAATGTGAGAAACAGTATCCAGTTACATTACATTTACTTTAAAATATTTCAAATGCAAAATCAGGAATTCTCAGGTAATCTCACAGCCACCAGACAACAAATTTAGCCAAGATGGGGCTGCATCCTGTTAGAGGCTTAAGTAAAAAAAACAGTATGGATGTGTTGAATATGAAGCAAATCTGAAAGTTTTGAGTAGTGCTTCTATTTTTTCCCCCCATAATTCTGTCAAGCCATAAAATGGACTGCCAATTATCTCCAGAAATTTGGGAYTTTCAGCAGTCTTCTGGATTTCTCTCTCTGAGGCCACATTGGTTGACTTCTTTTTTCAACCAAAACCACACCTTTCTTCAGCAAGAGCTCATCGTTAATGCCTATAGCTTCTTAGCCCGTGTTCTGCTCGTTCTGAAGCACGTTCTAAGCTATTCTAGAGGCCTCAGAATGGGTGAAGCCTGGTTTCCTATCAATTTGTTTTCTTCAACCTCCTAGGCTCCTCTGAGGCTGTCCCTCCCTTGTTGTCCTGCAGCCCTAGATATTTCTGTAGACAGCAAGCCTTGGGACTGTCCCAGTGACTTCCAATGGCCAAAGCAGCTTGCAGTGGCCCTGGCAGCTCTGTGCCAGCCGAATTTCCTCTTGCCGGGGAGTACCCCCGCATATCTGCCATGCTTATGAAAGTGCTTTTCAACGTCYCTCAAGCTTCAGGGCGACCAGATCACCTTTCCCTTGAAGGGTGACAGCAAGCGTGCAAAGGGAATACGCCTTCTCCCTCCTCCCCATATCCCAGATGTGAGCGACGCGGCAGAACCAGGATGGCCTCCCTCCCTCCCTGCCCCGAGCTGGGTCAGGACCAGCACTGGTTCCGCCGGTTGTGTCCCCAGGGAGAATGCGGAGCAGGCTGGAGCCGTGTGCCTTCCCTGGGGTGCTGAAACCCTCGGGGGCTAAGCAGCCTGCCGACCACCACGAAACCGAGGGGCATGGTTCCCTCGGGAGGTGCTGGCGGGCRGCAGGGGCGCAGCCGCTCTCGGGAACAAGCGGGCCCCGTTCCCTGCCCGGGGGTACCGCTCCCCGGCCCGCGGCAGCGCCCGTGCCCGGCTCTTCCGCGCCGCGCCCCTCCGGGCTGGCCGGCGGCGGGGCGGGGAGGAGGAGGAGCCGGCGGCGGAGGAGCCGGGCGSGCTTCCTGGCGGGGCAGCGCTGGCGGCGGGCGGGTGTCGCGGCGTGGGCAGGTCCGTGACAACTTCGCCGAGCGTGCCCGGGGCGGAGGCGCGCCCGTGTCCGTGAGAGGGCAGCCGCCGCCCGCTCGGCATGGCCGGCCGCCTCGGCCGCGGCATGTGCTGGGGCAAGCGGGGCCGGGGCTGTCGGGGCGAGGGCGCGCTGCTCGCCCTGGGGCTGCTGGCCGCCCTCGGCTTCCTCGTGTGGCGGCATGGCCCGCCGCCCCTCCACGCTGCCCGCCGCGCCCCGCCGCAGCCGCCGTCCCCCGACACCGAGCTGCTGCGCCGGCCGGTGTACGAGAAACCCGCCCTGGACCCGGGGGCGCTGGGGGAGCTGGGCCGGGCGGTGCGGCTGGAGCTGAGCCCGGACGAGAAGCGCCGCCAGGAGGAGAGCATCCGCCGGCACCAGATCAACATCTACCTGAGCGACCGCATCTCGCTGCACCGCCGGCTGCCCGAGCGCTGGCACCCGCTGTGAGTACCGCCGGGGACAGGTGGGGCCGGGCCACGGGAGCCGTGCCTACCGCTGCTCTGGCTCTTGGAGAGCCAAACTCGAGTGTCTGCTGGCGGCCGTCAGCGCGGGCTGCTCGTGTCTCTCTCCAGTGCCTCCTGCTCAGGAGCGTGGAGGCTTTCGGAAACTTTGCCGTCCCAAATGCTCTCGGATCACAGCGTTCGCTCTCAGAGTTGAGTCCATCGGTGACTTTGCCTGGCTGCCACACCTCCACAAGGCAGCGCAAAGTCTTTTGTTGGTGCTGGGTGTGTAAGTCTGTTGTTTCCCCCGTAGTCCCGGTAGTGTGGTGCCAGTGCTCAAAAAACGGCGCGCTGCAGTGTTTCTCCTGTTGCTGTCCCCTCCCGTTGCTGCTGCTGTCCCCTGGGTAAGTCACCAGAGGCAGCGGCATACKTTTCCAGTCACTCCCAGCTTTACAAATGTTACGCTTCCCAGACTTCAGCTGTGCATTGTATTCAAATTTCTTAAGACATGCAGTTTAAAGGTTATTGGTTTATCAGCAGTTTTACCAGGTGTGTAATGGTATTCTGGAGTGGGACTGTGCTTGATCCGGGATGCATTGGTGCTGGGACAAGTTACGTTTACAAATTACATTTTCAGATATGACACCWGTGACAGATGGTGGCATAGACAATTGTAAACGAGATTAGATACTGTTTGATGAGGTGGCTCTAGTGTACAGGTAATGGTTCAGTGCAGCTGTGAAGCCAGCATGGCACAAGAGTTCTGACTGTTCTGCCCTTACTCAAACACTCAGTGTGGCGCTGTCATGGGCTCTCCTGTGAATAAGCTGCTGGCTGGTGAGAGAAACGGGCTAGCCAGTTATGGGTATGTGCTAGCCACTACAGAAGATGACATGGAGCCATGGCTGCTACTGGCTCCTCACAGCCTTTACTTCTGTTATACCTGAACTTGGCTTCAGCTGATTTATTTCAGTGCAACTGATTTGTACGATATAGTGGCAAAGAGCTGTGGAAAAAGTAGGGCTCTGGCTCTTCTGTGCATTCACACCAGTGTGTCCTGGTCGGTAATTCACCAACTTTAGTTCTAAGTGCTGAACTTAAAACATGAGTTTTATGATGGCTTTCATAAAGCTSCAGYGCAAATGCAAAGCCTTTTCATCATRAGGCTAAGCCTGACASTAGGCTTGTTTTACTTAGTTATTATTCCTCTTTTATAAGCAGTCTGTAGGCCGCAGGTCAAAAAGGACAATTTTGGTTTCATTTCCATGGGAAGAATTAAATCATTTCAATGAATTATTTTGGACTTCWGCCATTTCTCTATGACAGGATGTTAGAAGAAATAGAAGGTCACAGTTGTTGAACAGGGGACATTAGCGATGTGTGTGGGTGACTATTCTAGAAATGAAAATAATTTGGATTTGAATGAGTGGATAGATTTTGCTACAACAGCAGACCTTTTTGATTTGGATATATGGATGCTGAAATGACAAAATATATCCAAACCAAAAGAATYACAAAGCATCAGTGACATAATCTCAGACATAATTGCCTTCTGAAGCTGGGGCTGTGTTGTACTGGTGTGTCTGCTGGCAGGTGCTTCATGCCTTTGTGCACTGTTAAATCTAAATTATGGCAGAAACATCACGGACCATCTCTCCAACTCAGACCGCAAATGTAAAAAAAAACTTCCCCAAAGGCAATTTTGCAGTGGAGTTGTTAACTCCTGCTCTCAAGAAGGAAGACCATGTAAGATATTGAAGAAAAAAATATGGAAGAAGATATCACGAAACCCACAGCAATAGAAAATTCATTGCACTTCATTCCAAAATTGGAGGCCATATAGTTTGAAATCTCAAATCTATGGAAAATATGATGGGTTTTTTTTTGTGTTTTTTTTTTTTGTTTGTTTTTTTTAAATTTTAACATGGGTAATGCTTGACCATTTRTGATCTTTAATAAACATTTTGGTGATGGATGAGGCTACAATGGTAGTAAGGGTAGATGGCAGCTATGCTTCCGCTGTTCACCAAAACAATGTAAAGGCTAAATTTTGGCTCTAATCAATGATACAATTTTGGTACCCGAAGGTGACAAATGCACCATWTTTTTAGTAAAGTCCTAGAGGACAACCAGAGAACTGTGTGCTGGCAAGCCTTGGATCTTTTCCAGGCTTGTTATTTACAAACTGTGGTAAGGGAAAGAATTACTAACAGATGGGTAGGTGTGATCTRTTGAGAAGGTCAACAAGACTTTTGTCAAAGATGACGTGTCTCACAAACCAGTCTGAGTTCTTTGAAGGTCGTAATTATATGGATAAAGAAGTGTTGTTTCTTGAAGAGTTCCTCAAACAACGGTGGAAATTCCTTGCATTTATACATAACGAGTAGAAGCTGTGAAGCATTTGTTCTGTGCTTTTTTGTTTGTTTGCTTGGGGAAGTTTTTTTGGTTTTGTTTGGTTTTTTTTTGTTTGTTTGTTTTTGTTTTTTTTTTAAGTAGTGCAGAGTCATTGATTAAGTCCCACAGAAATCTGTGTTGGACCCATGCTGTTCAATTTACAGCATGGCTTTCATAAAGGTACTAATTTACAGCACTTCAGCCTGAAAGACAGGTGGGGTGCTGAAAGGGTACCTCCTGCAGCACTGCTGCCAATGCATGGYTGGTGCACGAAAGTGGATGAAACAAATTCTGCCCCCTCCCTGTTCCAAAAATCCATTTACTGTAAAACATAAGTAAGTCCATCTACTAGAAAATTTTAATCAAATATTCAGGAGATATTGACAGATACTGTGCTTGGAAACTCTATTCTGGGTTGTGGGCTTTTGGTCTGTTTCAGCATATTCTTATGTGTGTGGAGTCAAGTCCGGAAATTTTAGATACCTATAAAATGGGAGAATAGAACAAAGGGAAAGAGAGACATTACCATCACCTGGATGCCCCACTGCTCCTTTTAACACTAATGTCCTTCCACACTGATCAGTGAACCCGCTCTCTGTGTGTGAATTGGTGAAAACATTTGAATCCAATGAAAACTAGGGTTTTCCTAATAAGAGAGAATCAGTAAGCAGGTAAATGTGATATGCAAAATGATTGCACAAGGTGTTGCATTATCGGAAACTGATGCCGAAAATCTTTTCCTTCTGCTTCATGTTGTACATTCTGGAGCTGCTATTTGAACAGAAATGTGGCAGGTGTTTGCTTGTACCTATATCTGRTAATACTGTGCAGGAAGGGAAGAATAGTTTGGCTCAGATTACTCTCTCTATGGTGGTATTTAACTATGAAACCAGGAAGTTTCAAATTTAGCTCKTTCTCCTACTAGCATATTCCCAACAGTTAAAATATTCAGGAAGACTTTATTCCTTCTTGTTCCCACCACCGTAACATCCATTTTGTGACAACAGATCCTGTTTCCATTGAACTACAGACCCAAAGAGCTCAACAACTACTATTGTTTCCTTTAGACAGTTTCTGCTTCCTTTGRCTGTCTGAGCTGGAGATAAGCAACTGATGTATTTCATCACACAGGAACTCTCCAGTTTTATTAAAAGTATTCCTGCAAACCAATAAAAATTATGTAAAAAAACAATCTRTAAAGTGTTCATTTGGAAAAATCTTATGGATGCGAATGTAAGTCACTAWATGATGATAGAGTTTGTACAAGGCTAGAAATGAAGTAAGCCAAAAGGTCAGAAAAGGATGGATGTTGGAAGGAAACTTTGGGGTGTCTAGTCCAACCTCCATGTCTCCAAGGATGGAGATTCAACWGCCATTGAACACCTCTTTCAAGGCTACATCACTGCCACAGTGATCTCGTTTTCTTTTCTTTCCCTGATCATAATGTTGTCTGGATGGCCTAGCTTGTCTTGCCAACATCTACCCTTCCTTTCTTGAGTTTATATTCATGAAGGAAGCAAAAATTGTAGATTTCAAACCAGCAAGCGTCCTCTGTCACCCCCTGACTTAGTGAGGGTCCTGCAGGGGCAGAAGCTCTCTAAGCATGGTGTGATGAGTTCTGGGCCTTGGGGTTTAGCTGCTGCTGCTGCTTTGCCTTGCTCCCCCTGCAACAACAAGTCTGCGTCCTGTCCTGTGGGACTTCTTCTTGTGTGCTTGTTTTACAGGACTGTAGGGCTAGGCAGACAACTGACACATTCTCCTAGCCTTTTACAGCTTATTACAATGCGTAAGAAACACATTTCCAGTTTTTCTACTTGGGTTCTTTTAGATTAAGGGCTGTTTTCAAGTATTGATCCTGATTTTAGATATTCTACCTTATTTTTTTTCTTTTCTTTTCTTTCTCTTTTACTCACAGTAGGGATGCATTGCTCACCTATTTTGGGGACGGTTTCTGTAAAATCACACCAGCTGCCTTTTGTCTGACTCTTGGTACAAAAGGAGCAAGTCAGGAATAGGCGCTTTTGTGCCGACTCAGCATTTCATGTTGTGTCTTTCATGGCAGAAGCCTGATTCAGCCCTTGGGGCTCATTTTACTTGTGATCACAAGGAAATGGATTTTTAATTCTTTCCTCTCTTTCCTTAACTGGGAAATATATTTTAAGTAGCCACAAAAGCCCGCAAAATATTGAATGTGACCTGCATAATATTTTTTCAGCTATGAAAAGAGCTTTGGAGGGTCATTCTTGAATTGTGGGTAATTTTCTGTGTTTTGGAAAGAGAGATTCTTTACATAAATGTTTATATATRTATGGTTTTAATGTATATGTTTAAGTATCTGTAAAGACTTTAAGAGTCTTTGTATAGATAGCTAGATATCCACAAATGCCTAAATTCCTGTCACCATAATTTATACTTATATTGTTTATTTTGGGGGAATACTGTATTTGAATTTAACATAACAATTTTGTGCTAAGATTTTTTTGACTTTSAAAACTCTTTTTCCTGTTTGTTCCCATATTTGAATTTGATTCTCTAAGTCTCGCTTTCTTCTATRGTTTATTTTGTTTTCCCAATTGTAAATACTAAATTATACCTGCATGTTCATCTGA